ACGGTCGCGCTCCTGTGTGACTGTTTGCAGTTTTTGGTTTCCATGCTGGTATTTGATGTTCGGCTAGTGACGAACTTGGACCAGCCTATACTTAAACGAATTAAAATGTGCATCGTGATCCCACTAATCATCATCAACAGCAGTAGATCAGCTACTTGTACTGATCCTTCAATGCCATATAACCATGACGACCTACGGAACGAAGATTACTAAGAGAGAGAGAAGGGGGACTTACCGGAAAACCTTATTGCCCTAAGCAAGCATTTAGAGTCAAGGTGCCTAGACGATGTCAACTACATACCGTCACAAACAACCGGCTGTCGTGCAAAGATGAGGCGGCATCGGCCAGATAGCCTCTTTGCAGCTTTCACTGCCCGCATCATGATCCGCCATTACTCCGCAGAAAACTCGGCTACGATTTACACTCTAACTAGGCAGTCCGACTATGGGACGACGGCAGACGCGCCACTGGTGCCGGCTAAGAGACATCCATCCATCCCATTCCACTGTCCGCCATTATGCCAAGTACACTCAATTGCATGCCCCGGGTCATTTCTTTGAAGCCACCTAACGAAGCGGAGGTATTTGTCGATATTCGACACCTCAAAATATTCAAATCTCCTGATTCGGACAAACTTACTCCGGAGATGTTCAAGTTCGGCGGTCCAGCACATAACAGCGCTGTTTTCCAAGATTTGGAACGAAGAAAAGATTCCATCCTCCTGAGTTGAGTGAGTAATTGTCCCTATTTTCACAGGGGAGTCAGTCTCATGCCGGTTGCTTCCAAACTGCTGGCATCCATTCTGCTCCGCAGACTATCCCCGATCCGCGAGTGGTTTTACCGCGAAAAATAAGCTGGGTTTCGCCCCGGTCGAGGATGCGTGGACCATATCTTCACACTATGCCAAATCCTTGAACACCGCCATCTCTACCACAGGCCAACCATTGTCGTTTTCGGGAACATTAGAGCTGCATTTGACTCGGTCGACCGGCCTGCTTTATCACACTGTTTGTTAAGAAATGGTCCCCGGAAAGTGCACTTCCATCATTCGGGCACTTTACTTCCAAGTGTCAGGTAGAGTAAGGGTATATGACAAGCCTTCCTCACTCTTCGCTATCTCTAGTGGTGTGCGACAACGGTGCCCTTTGTCCCCATTCCTCTTCAACTTTGCAATTGAGGACGTCCTGTTGAGGTCTCTAGAAGACTCCCAAAATCTTAGTGTTGAGCTTCTTCCTGGCAATCGAGTGACCAACATAGATTATGTTGATGATATCGCTGTGCTCGCTGACGATTCACAGAGGGTACACCACTTTTCGAACCGTCGCGATTGAAGCCTCTAAGTATGATATGCGCTTTTCCCCCTTGAAGTGTAAAGTGCTACTCCAGGACTGGACGTCGTCTGCCCCCTCCTTACCATTGAAGGAATACAGCTAGTGCTTGTGGACAACTTTGTCTACCTGCGAAGCTGTATTTCTGCTGAAGTTACTGCCGGGGAAGTGGTATCACTTAGCATCGCCAAAGCCCGGTCGGCATTTACCAACCTGAGTCATTTGTGGCGTCGTCGGGACATTAACCCTCTCCTTAAAGAGGAGGGTCTACAACGCTTGTGTCCGTGCGGTCCCGTTGTACGGAAGTGAGTCCTGGCCGATTCGCATGAATGATATGCGTAGGCTTTCGGCCTTCGACAACACATGTTTGCGGCAAATAGCCCGTGGGTGTTGGCAGCACCAAATTGGCAACGATGAAATCCGGTGTCGCGTCTTGGGAAACATGAGTCCTCCGCTTGATCGCCTTATCCGCAATGCATCAATTGAAGTGGCTTGGCCACGTTCTAGGTATGTCATGCGAGTGCTTACGACGCCGCAGGTTATTTGCTCTCAAGAGACTGAACTGGAAGAGAATGCGTGGAGGTCAGCCAACCACTTGGCGGCAAACCATGAAATTGCTGACCTCCTGTCTCGCAATCGTCGGCTCAGTACGTCTTCCTGGTGGGGGCCCTAAGGATGAGCTGTCAATGGCTCGACACATTTGGCGATATGGCGCGAAACGGGAATCAATGGAAGGACTGTATATTAAAATGTGATCAGAGCTATATCAATCAAAATGCCAAAAAAAGAACAAAATGGCGTGTGAAAACAGACAAAATACCAGAAAGCCCAAAATATTTTTGTCTCTGATATTTGTACCTTTTTTAATTTGTTCCTCATGGTTTTTCGATGGGCTAATGTCTATTTATAGTGATGCATATATTTATATAGTGTTGAAAATCCAAGGGTAAAGGGCCCACATAGGTTCGACTAGAACTATAGTGAACTGGATTGGGGACAGCACAGACGGTGGAATCAATTTCTCCTAACTTATTCTTCCAACGAATACAAGGCGTATTAATAGATATCTGAACGGTTGTAAAAAAAATTGATAATGGGTAAGTGCCGTCATTCCAAAAAAGAATAGCTTCAACCATCGCGAACATCGCTTCTAAAGGAAGCTGCGTCTAGTTGAAGCGGCGCCTGAATCCTGTTCAGGTGGACAGTCACTAACTCTAAACAGTGAGTGTGCACCCCCATTGGCAGTACACTTCGCTTCGGTATTCGTAAATGACCAGTTGTTTGCACCGAGTTCGAAATGTCCCGCTTCTACCGAACTCAATAGCCTAAACTGTAGTGTTAAGGAGGTGAGAACCTTGATAGATTCATGCCTGACGATGTTTATCAGCCATCGTCTCATGTTCCTTGAGTAATCTGTTCAACGGGTCGCTATCTGGACGTTCGTCGCCGAACGATTGGAAATGCTCGGTAGTGAGGCCGACAGTGAAAGGTGGTGATTCAAACGAATTGGACACAACCCGGCCTATTTGTGTGACTCCCATTTTGGCCAAGATTGTAAAGAATATAGTGAAGGATCTACTTTTTGTTCAAAATAAAAGATCTCTTAACGACCGCGCAGCACGATTTGGTGCTAGATGGCTCAGGTATCAGAAACTTCGTGACGAGGCGTGGTCGTACGCAATAAACAAGCGGAACATGGTCAACATCGATCTCCGCAATTCACTCGACAAGGTGAACCAAGAGGTGTTTGTGGTCCAATGCATCAGTGGCTCTGATAGTTCCCTGTTAGGCAAAGGCAGACAGTACGGGTCGACAGTCATCTCTACTAGTGGCGTAACCCAAGGCATAGTGTTGGGGCCTACTTTGTTTTTGATCCATAGCAACCATCCACCTCGGCTATTCCGGTCGCCGAGTGCGCTGTTCGCAGACGATTTGAAGATTTCGAAAATAACCGTTGCTCCTGACGATCGAAGTGTTTCAGTAAACCTTCAACTACCTTTCCATGTGGTCTACAGAAGTCCGCATCGCAGTCAACCCAGTCAAGTTGGTATTCACGAGCCTGGGGAAGAAGGATAACGGTCAAACCTAGACCCTTGACCGTCAATCGTTACATCCTACACTTCCGTGAAAAACCCAATCGTATTCGCGCTACTATTTGAAGTCTGTGGGCTACAAAAACAGGATATGCGAAAGTGGACCACGCATGCTTTAGGCACGTAACCGTTGCCACTGTATCCGGTCAGAAGAGATTTTCACCAACATCTTTTCTATTACCAAGGGGAGAATGTTAGGATACGGCTAGCTCGCCTACTGTCCGATCAACATAGGCGAGGCGTAGGTGATCTAGCGGGTCTCATATGCCGCTACTAATCTCGTCCGGGTTTACGAGGCTAATTGTAGAAAGGCCAGTGCGAGAAACTAGAATCGTACACCTTTTCCTATCAGTGTTCTGTTCCACTTGAGAACACGAAGTATTACATGCGAACACCTGCACAAGTCTGTGGTAACGGGTCTGTAGGGAGTTGGTTACCTCTGTGCTCTGAATGGAGAGTGTGTGGGGAGGTCAAATGCGTGTAGCAGTTCCAAACATTGTTGGTTTCACATGCATGTGTCCCAAGTAACTGAGCCAGGCGTGTTTATGCATTACATGAGAATTTGAAGAGTGAATGGAGTAACTTCTTTCATCCTATATACGTGGGACTGTGCACATTTAAATATAGTTGTTCACGCAATACAGTATTCAGAAACAAGACGAAGAGTAGTTAAATCTTGGGCTTTCCGATAGGTACGGTTGCGAAATAAATTTACTACATTCGATCTCCGTTATCGCTACCAATGGTCAAAGTCAGGCTTTATGTAGCCACCGAATGACAATGTAGTAGGCAGTTATCACACAGCACAACTACGCGCAAGACTTCTTAGATAGATCTAACTCAACACCCCGGATCGTGTGACAGCATAGCTCGGATAGACTTCAGAAAAAAGAACTTGACACAAGAAAGTGGTGAATAAAACTACCCTGATTCAGAAGTTAGGAGATTTTGTTCAGCTGCCTACAACAGTGTTGGGCACCTTGTCTCGTGCGCTATCTGCGTCCTGAGAAGAGTAGGATAGTAGGAAACGTATTTCAACAGGACAATCTGAAATCATTTTAGTGCAGGCAAGCTCAGAAAATCATTTGCATTCGGTGGGGCAATCTGATAAACGAATTCCAGGGCCTTAGAGGGAGTTGGAGGAAACAACACGCAGAAAGACAATACCATTCATGGAAAACATCAGGTGAACTTCAGTCACTGGATGCCAAGTCCATCGGAGTTTGACTCGCGCGCAACTCAGTGACAACACGAGCTCAGCCTGAACAAAGTGTGCGGTGATAGAAGCTACCATGCTTTGTGTGAATTCTAAATTCACGGGAGCGATTATGCTACTGAAAATTTGTGCATCCACTTTTAATCATACAATGGGATTTTTACTACTGTGAAACACCACTTATGCCGCCCTGGGTTGAAATCGTTCAACAAGTACGTGAGCTTCCAGACCAGGGTAGTGGAAGCGGATATATATATATATATATATATATATATATATATATATATATATCTTAGTTTCATAGAAAATTGAACAGTACCTGCACAGAAGTCAAGATAAATGTGCACACATTCTGTCCTCACCATAAATGCAAGGAGCCAAAGTTTCTTATGACTGTAGAGTATATCTTCACGTCGATGCGTCACCTCTGCAGGCCTACGCGACGGAGCAGTGCAATCAGTGACAATACCTCCTTCTTTTGGAATAGTGGGCGGATAAACAACTTCGTTGTACAATTGCCATAAATCCTCCTTTTTTCCAGTCACCTTTGAAGTCAGGCGCATGCGATTAGAATCGGGGATTCGTTCGGAGTGAGCATAAGCCAACGGGGCACACGTGTGCAAGCCCGAAGAAGCCGCGAAGGTTGCTCGACGATACGGAAGCGAATCGCATGATGTGGATGCGATCTGAAAGATGCAACAAAACGACAACGTATGATAGCAGTCCGTAGGAAAACTGTTAAAGTGCTGGACAAGTCGTGGAACTAAAACCCGGAACTTTTGATTCGTCAATATTACCGAAGTTTGATCACTGATGTAAGTGGTCAAAAACTGATCTTTCTCACAGTGTTGTCGAGGTTTGGTAATTGAAATTTTAATGAACCCAACCAAGTTAAGTGCTGGATGTTCGTGAGCTACAGGGGATCTTGTATAGGAAGAAAAGTGTTGCTTTCAAATCAGTTCCTAAATCAAACAATATGACGAAAAAGGAACAGAAATCTAAGCAGATGATTGCAATAAGTAGGCTATTCAACCGATAGCAAAAATCCTCAGATCTGCCTGTTGCTGAGAGGAGCCATAGGAAGACTCCGCTCACAAAGGGGCCATTGGGACTCCTTATGCAGTGATTCGAGTGCCACATTTGCAACCTGTGTGTACCAGTCGAGTACGCTGGTACAGCTGTTTGTGGACATGTGGCAACGAGCTATCAGTTGAAAGCACTGGCGAACTGCACGTTACGATCCCCTTGGTTAAGCCAAAAATTCTGACGATCTGGTATCAACAACCTAGTCGGCGGAACGAAAGTGACTCGGAACTATATTCACGCACCGCAAGATAAGCGATGAAATTCGAGGTTCGTACGACTCGTGAGACTTAGGCGCAACACCGTTACTACGCGCAAGTTGAACGGGCTCTTAGACCGAACGCAATTTTACACGCAACTACCCGAACCCGGCAGAAATAAGCCAGAAGACAGGTTTTTCGCAAAAGACACTTTTACTGGCCAGACTCAAGGCGATTACAGTGCAGTCCAGCCTTGCTTATATACCGTGATTGTGAAATATGTGAATTTGAACGTAGAATGATTTGCGTAAGCAAACCCTGGAAGCAAGTGAATTGGCACTATGTGAATATGCTAACGGAACAGATCGAAAAGTGAATGCTGGTAGATGCGAAGGCTGGACTGGAAAAGATGAATGTTTCTTAGGTAAAAAAAGGCTGATCGAAAAGTGAATGTCTCACGAGTTGGAAGGCTGATCGAAACATATGTACTGATCTGAATGCGAGTCTCATTGCTTTCCGTTGTTCCAACTTGCGATCTTGTGGGGACGTTGGGTCCCCATAACACTGTGATACCTGTTTCAATACATTACTGTCTTATAGAGAGGCAAGGAAACAGCACATACCACAGATCCGAATTGCGCAACCTGTGATCAAACTCACGTACTACATATACCATGAAAAACCAGAGGAAATAGAAGGCGGAAGAGAATAAATGCGATTGCTTTGAGGCAATTTAGTTCAGTTCATGCAAGCAACTATAATCCGGCTAATTTGTGACGACTCGCATCGCAAGGAGAACAACAAATCACAATGGTCAAAAAGGGAGGCAAAACGCAAACACACCACTTCATCATCAAACACATTTGAGCTGGCTGGGAGATAGAATCACTCCGCTTATTGCACCGCAATAGAATACGATGATGTGCTAGCAGAAGAATGAGACAAAAACAAGAAGAAAACAAGGCATTTTGCTCTGCTTTTACTATTCATCAGAAATACGATCGTGGTTGGAAAGAGAAGCTGAGCGGCAGGGGAAACACAAAGAAACTCAGAACAAACACCATTGAGATCGGCTTCTGGCTGTTATATACGTCCTAGTTGTATGAATACAAGTCGGAACGGACGAAAGGTTCTTCACTAATAGTAACCCACCCGCATAGTAGACGAATGAATTCAGATCGATACGGCCTACGGGACCTAGTTGTCAAATCCATGTGCACGCGATCTGAGACTGGAGAAGTGCGTAACTCTACACGACTGTACCAAGCCCCAGAAAATTGCCTGATCGTTGGACTCAGAGGCCTGATAAAGCATCAGATCTGATCGCCTCTCAGCATTCGAAATGATTCCTATAAGAGCTTTGCTTGACCTGGCCCGTTGTTGGTCAGTAGCAGGAAGCTTCTCTTTGTTTCGCAGCTTCTTTCGTCGTCGAGTGTTCGATGGCCCCACAACCATTGGGGATTCATCCGTGTCTGTAAAGCTAGCAGAGCGCAAAGTCAATGGATCATTAGACTCAGTCGGCGTCGCGCCATTTGGGGAATCAGGATGGCGAGGAGTCGGGGGGAGGAGGATGGAAGGAAGGCTGGGTTGAACCTTGGATGGAATCTAGGCCAGATTTTGGTCGCGAGCTATACCAGTAGACGCAATACATTTCTCTGGCTACCTTAGACTTCGGCAATGGTTGTACAAAATTTGGAGGAAATCCCGTTGTATGGAACGCAAAGGACGATAGGAACGGCAGGTAGTCCAGCACATGAAATATAGTACATCAATGAAAGCACGTAAGTACAAACACCGTTTCCAGCAACTTTCAAACAGAAACCGTAGTGATTTCTTCGGCATTATGGAAAAATGTTTTAAAAGTGACGAAATCTGCGGAAAGATACCAGGTCAGATCTGCAGGGAAGAAACAGGCCTTCGCCTATCGAGCTTCCCGTTTCAAGCGCCGGTAAGCAAGCCAAGGCCACCGACACTTCGACGTTCAAGCTTCTTCACTTCTGCAGAGAAAAAAGGTAGCCAGAGGAACTTCTCATAAGTTCATGAAACTATTTGTGACATCCTATTGACCATGGGATATTTGCTAATAACTGGAATCCACTAGTCTCAGTGCAGTTCCGGACACTTATTCTTAACCGACTAACTATCAGTAAAACCAGCCTCAGCAGCGACCAACACTCCCTTACACTCAGCGTCCGGAATGTTCCCGACTGATGAGGGTGCCTCAGTGGAACCGCAGTTGGGCCAGCAGTTGAGGATACTACTGCTCACCCGCGTTCCATCAGGGAAGAGTTTGTAGTACCTTCTCCAATATTATTTTCGGCTATGGGAGCAGAAATCAAGCTGCCTGATTTCACCGTTTTCTGCAGTCACACACGGCTCACGTAAGTTGTCTTTTGGTAATTGTGTGAAACAATCGTGTGAGGAGACGTCTACTGCTCCGGAAGAAATGTCGGAACAATTATCGATTGCAACTCGCAAAATTTGACAGTCATACACACAGGGAACCTGAACAAGAGGCCCATTTACTGGTGCGGTGGGTACAGAAGGTAGCTGTCCGTTCACCGCTCTTCTACGGTTGTGAAACCTGGCCCATCAGGTCGACAGACAAAAGGAGGCTGGTCACCGCAGCTTAGCTCATGTCTGGTGGGAGCACCGCGTGAGAAACGAACGTATTCGGCTTCGCGTATTTGGTGCAAGAAAAGCTAT